AGCGTGCGGGCGTGGTACTCACAATGGCCCCATTCTGGTATGGACCTCTGTCTGAGAGTGTCGCCGTACTTCATTCCAACAAATTGATAAGTGGGGTGGTGGAAATAGGCCCAATTGGTTGCGTCGTGTGGGTTTGTTATGAATTATGAAAGCGATAAACTGGCACCGTCAGATAAGCCCTCGAGGGTTCATGATTGCACGGTCGTGCAATATACGTGCGAGCGTTGCACGTTCACACAGTCAGACAGCAATTGAGCCGTTGGACCGTTGAACCGCCGAGACAGGGCGCCAGCCGGACTACGTACCGTTGGTTTCAACTGGGTGAATCAAGATAACACCTCCGCCCTCGTCATGCCAAGATATCCGGCTTATGACGCGCTGCTAGCCGAGTATGTGAAATTCAAATGTGAGACGAGTGCGGAAACCTAGAGTGAAAGTGCCAGAACAACATGGCGCTATGAAGGGTGTATGTACTTATCGATCGAGCGCAGGTGTTCCTCGATAGCTTCGATCCACGCTATGATGGAACCTTGGAACCCTTCTCCGGTGCTACGCAGGCATCCTTGTACGTGCGCAAGGGCCCACATCCCATGCAGCCGGGATATCATCTCCACTCAACACCCAATGTTATCGTATGACGGGGAGGGAACTGCTGAACGTGTTCCCTGGTGTTGAACCTCGGTTGGTGAGGTAAGCTTATCATTCTCCAAGGGTCAGCCCAGAGTGTCTACAGTACAGCCTCTACGTGTGACCAACCACTACTAATAACCTAGCATCTTCAAGGTCCATGTCTCCGCTAGAGAGCTTGTTGCTTCCCGCACGCCATAATCGATTCGAATTGAGCAAACGACATTAGCCGTCTGCCGTGTTGCAGAGAAGCATCACGATCCACAGTTCAAGGCGGCAATCGGCATGTACCGCGCAATGCCGGCACGTTGAACATCGAGACGAAGCCTCAGCTGTGGCTGCCATCACAGTCAATCTAGATCGTCAAGCAGCAGGAGGTATTGCCAGGAAAGACGACAGAATGTCACTACACCAACGCGATTGGCCAATGCAAGTATCTGGAGAAAATTGGAGAAGAAAAGCTTGCATCTAGACAAGGATAGACGTGCAGCTTAACGAACCTCCACTTGCCTGTTGCGAGACGAACCAGGGATGTTCTCTACACCACACAAGACATCTCTACATAATTGGAGCCGCGGAAGAAATTTGTCGCATGATTATTCCTTGCACACAACCTTCTCTTCAGTACGATAACAACATGTCCCCGCATCTATCTGGTCAATGAGAGACAACAGCAATGAATACTCATCAACCGTCCCCACACGATAGCACTTGCGGCCGCCGGCCACCCGTCGCAGGGACCTGGACCCATTGCCGAAGTGGAGCTTCATCATGCCCATCCCGTGGAGCCGCGGTAGTGCTGGCTCAATTGAGCGCCTCCGAGAAGCCACACGACTCCGGAAGTGCTAGACGATGGAGACGAAGTGAGTCAGACCAAACATTATGAAGTTGATATACGAGAACGAAGGATGAAGGTAGCCGTTAGTCTCATCACTAAGTCTACCTTTTTTTCAAATCACAAGTCCTGAAGAAAACGAGTGGCAATCCCACATATCCAAGTGCACAAATTTGACTGTCGAGACGAGGTTTCTGCAAAAGAATCCGCCAAACCAGTCCATATTTCCTCAAAGGATCGATATGCATACCCGAGTTCCACGGGCTACGGCACTTGTCCGCCACATTGGCGATGCTTGTATCAACATCTGCATGCACGTCTGCGCGTCGCCATTTCATGCAAGTAGTTCTGCGTCTTGAAAGGTCGCGTGCTCACCTGCCTATACCAGCTCCGCTATGACGGACAGGGGTGCTGCATATGTAGGATCGCTAGAACGCCTTTTATGACATCGCGCTTGCATGATCCAGACCCAGACGTTTGGAACCTGTCTGCCACTTGCGATGCGTGTGTTGCCCACGTGGGTGATCGGTGTGGTTTTCAGGGCTTGAATGTGGCATGTCGGTTCGAGTAATTGTGAGGATTCGAGATGTAATACTGCCGGTGGTAAGGCGATGAGGGACTGAACGCGACTCAGAATTGAGGTTTGTGGGCCGCTTCGCTTGCTTGCTTGCTTGCTGCTTCATGTGAAGGACGGGTTGCTTAGATATCGGTTACATATACGATTGGTCTTGGTGATGCGGTCACATATGACTTGGCGACCGCTGAAATGTCTTGATAATGATGATATAATAGCATGCGCCTCCACACGTCTGAGTCCAATGGCTCGCTGCGAGCAAGATCAGTGATGCGATTACCCTACGTAGTTGTCAGAACGCGTGAGCTGTCTCCAAACAGTACGCAATGTACGCACAGTATCATTCCAGCGCACTCCCTAAAACGACATGCACGCCGAGAGAATCTCAGCACTTCATCATCGCCCAAAGCTTCACACCTTCACCCCCCTCTTGGCCCCTCCCTTCCCCATCCACCTTCCCCTTTCCCACAACAATTTCCTCCAACATCTGGAACCCCAAATGCGTATACACATCTCTACTCCTCGGTGACGTAGACTCCAAAACCACAGGCCACCCCTTCTCCCTCGCCATATCAAGGACAGGGCGAATGAGGTCACTGACTTTAGCCGGGTTTGAAGTAGAAGGGTGAGTGCGGTCGTTTGCTAAAAGGACTAGATGTAGCAAGTGAGTTGCCTGGGGAGGAATAAAGCGTTTCCGGACGTGGTGAGCGAGGGAGTTTAGTTCCGTTACGGCGGGTGGGTTGTGTGGCTCTTCTTTGTAGTTTTCTGTTACTTCTTCTAATGTCCTGCGTGAATTATCGTTAGTAACTTCCGACATCCTCTCCCAAAACATTTCTTTCCCTCTCGACTCCTCCAATCCTTGAGGGAGAAACATCTCATAATAATGTATCCAAAACTTACCAAACACTAGCCACCCCACTCCCAGGAACCGTCATACTCCTCGATCCAGCCTTGAGGAAATCAGGCACGATAAACGCAAAAACCTCCTTGTTCATCTCTTCCCCAATCTCTGTCTTTCCTGATCCCTGCATTTCATCTAGGAGAATATAGCGTTGGAATGCGTCGGCTTCGAATTGCTTGCCGAGAATTTCGATCGCGTGGTCTAGCGTGTCTTCTACGAGACCGGCAGGGACGGGTATTTGCGACATTATGCTGGTGAATGAGGAATGCTCAGGAGTTTGAGAGTAGGGCTTCAGGAAGTCAAGAATGGTGGGTGTTGATGCGGATAGAGGTAGATGGACTTTTGGTAAACTAGTAGGTGATGGGGTCGGTCCGAATTTTCAATGCTCCGGTCCGAGTTCTCTACATTATGAGCCGGCTGGGCATCGTGTAGAATAGTATGTATTAGACCTCGCTAGCTTCATCCGATCGGTTGCTTGTTCGTACGAGGCGTCCGCGGCCCCCGCAGCCGTACCTGTGCACCTGTCATACGCTGTAACATACTCGAAGGACTGGATTCTGTTGTGGGGCAGGACGTGGGGTAGGCCGTGCATGACATGTATACATCACGCGTAGTACGTCTCACGTTGTGTCGAAGAAGATGGTGTTTGGTCTCAAATGAATGAAGCGTTCCGACTTGGAATGCCGTCTTCTGCCTTGATTGAACGCCATACTATACACGTAGATTAAACGCCCGCATATGTTGACACTGAACAAATTTGGTACCGCCCGCTTTTTAAGACGTTTAACCTGGAGGAAGCAGGCTGTTGTCGACAACATCCTGCGCCTCCATTTCCTCCACGTCGGCACTGTTGTGTAGCGGGGAGCGCGGTAGAGCCATGAGACCTGTATGTGGTTAGCAACTCGGCTGTGCCTGAACATGCCACGGTGCTTACCAGTTCTTGCGGACTCCAGGATACCGAATGGAGCAATTAGCTTCATGAAGGAGTCAATCCTGGTAGGCTTCGCGGAAACCTCTACTATGCAGTTGTTTGTGCTGATATCGAGCACCTTTCCACCGAACTGATGAGTCATGAATGTAATGGCGCGCAAATGCTCGTGCTTGTGTCGGAGTGCCTGACTGACGGGCAGGTTTGTCGGGTGGTAGTCTTTCCGCAAAGACTCGCGAGCAGCCTCCTGTGCCATTGCGTTGCGCTCCTCATCCGTCATGTCTGGTTCGTATTGCTCTTCCATCTCTGGGGTCTGAGCCATTTCTCGGTGGTGCGCAAGCAGCTCCTCAAAGTACTCCGGGCCGAGAATCGAGACCTTGGCGAGGAGCAGTTCGCGCTGAACGAGGGGCGATTGGGTGTAGTCAAGCACAGCCCATACGGGGACTAGGTCCTCGAGCTGGCGGCGGGCTTGTTCTATGACACCATCCTGCCCTTGCAACACAATTGTCATGCGGGAGAGGTCGTCCACCTCGGTGTTACAGACGACCAAACTGTCGATGTTGAAGCCGCGGGCAGCCAGGATACCGGATACGCGGGACAGCACACCGGGCTCGTTCTGTACCAAACAGTTGAGGATGTGGCTCTTGGGCGGAGCTTGGGATGGGAGCGGTGTTTCGTAGAGGATGTTGCTGACGGCAGCGGGCGCCGACCACGCCGGGGGACGGTCTTCGGTGGGCAGAGGCGCGATGCGACGGTGAAGGGCCTTGTAGGCCAGCGCCTGGGTGGACGAGGAGCTGGATGCCCGTTGTTGCTGGCGGAGAGAGCCGGCGCATTGCCTGTTGAGCAGACTGCGCAATGGCAGCATTGCTCTCCGGGAAGCCATGGCGGGCAGTGGTCGCGGTGAAGGCGGGTAGTGACTGCGGATGGGAATGGGGTTCACGTCAAACCGCCCCAGAAAGTGAAATAGAATCCCCGGCCGATTGTCGGAGGAGCCACCAGGCCACGAACAGGCAGGTTCAGCCGCGGCACGCTAATAAGCGAGTCGCTCCTGCCAGAGCCTAAGATTCATCGACAAACACCAACTCGAGCCTCACTCAACCGCAACACGACAACTATCCCTACGGCCACCCGCATCATGTCTGAGGAACGTCGCCCCCGATCGCGCTTTGACAGCGACGATGCTGAGCGCCCTGTTCGCTCGCGCTTCGACTCAGATCGTCGCTCCAGGTCGCCGTCGCGGAGGGAATCCGAGTCGCATCGCGCCCGTAGCCCTATCGCCCGTGAAGGCACAGACAGCCCTGCATCGTCCAACTTCAAGAACGAGGCGGCAGCAAAGGCGGCGGCTGCGGCTGCGAGGATCAACGCGCAGATTCAGGCGAAGAAGGGCATCCAGCATGTCGACGTGCCACCGATTCGCTCTGTAAGTTCACCCATATCTTTCCAAGCACGACAAAACTAACAGCCCAGGCCGCTACTCCTCCAGTCGCCAAGTCGCCTGCCTCAAACTCCGCCGCGGCCATAAACAACGAGACGTATCAGCAGGATGGTGACTACATCAAAGACATTGAGATCAATGATCTCCGTAATCGCTACACACTGACTAAAGGAGCTACACAAAAGAGGGTAAATAACTGTTTTTGCTGTCCACTGATCATGTAGGATCATGCCTTCTCCATGCTCTGCTGCGCTGCACCTGGTGCGTGTGTAGCGGGGCTGGAGTTGGTCTCTGTTTGCGCATCTCTCTATGAGAGTCAGAGCTTACTTGATCTAGCACCCCACCCCATTCATCAAATGCTAACCTCCATGTGCCATCTAGATCAAAGACGAGACTGGCGCCGGTACGCATCCCCGATTACAACCATTAACCTTTAGAGTACCTGCTTATACATGCAAGATGTCACTACTCGCGGAGAATACTACCCTGACAAGAACATGGCCACTGCTACTGTAGGTGGACACACAAGATCTCGTCGACGAAGCTAATGGGAACAGAACCCGCCGCTGTACCTCCGCATTACTAGCACCTCTAAGGAAGGTCTGGACAAGGCTGTAGAGATGATCGAAGAGATGATGAAGGAAGACCTTCCTAACCTCGTAGACGAACGTCGCTTCCGCCGCAGGGAGCCGGAGAACTTCGAACGCGACGAGTTCGGCAGAGTATGTTGCCCTGTCCATCATCCAACATGTCGCTAACTGTTCCCAGCGCAAGTGGCCCGAAGAGAAGATTTCCGTAGGTCTTGAGCCTATCAGCGGCTTTAACTTGCGCGCACAGGTTGTCGGTCGCGGTGGCGACAACGTCAAGTTCATTCAACAGGAGACAGGCTGCAAAGTCCAGATCAAAGGTCGCGGTTCCGGCTTCATGGAGCCAAACAGCGGACAAGAGAGCGACGAGCCCATGTACCTTCACATCGCGTTCGTATACCCCGCCATTCTTACCCTCCAATTACTGACAGATCATAGTGGACCCCGCCCAGAAGGTGTAGCCCAGGCCAAGCAACTTTGCGACGAACTCCTCGACAAGGTAAAGTCGGATTATCACGCTTACAAGGAACGCCCTCCACCGAACCGTTACGGCGACCGAGATGGCTATGGCGGTGGACGACCGGGATACGGCGATCGTGGCGACCGTGGAGATCGCGGAGACCGTGATCGCAGCCAGAGCTACGGATACGGTGGAGGAAACGGAGGGGGCGGCGGCTACGGTGGCTACGGTGGCTACGGCGCTCAGGGTCAGAACGGTTACGGCGGCCAGGACACAATCATGTCTCCTGCTGCTGCAACGCCGACTGCTGATGCTAACAACCAAGCCTACGACGCGAATGCGGCACAAGCATGGATCGCCTACTACCAGCAGAACCCAGAGGCTGATCCTTATGCGGCCTACGGTGGGTATGCAGCGTATCTCGCACTCCAGCAACAGCAGTATGCGGCGTACTATGCTCAGAACGGTTATGGCCAGACGCAGTCGCCTGCTCCCGGCGCTGGCGCGGCTGCACCACCACCGCCGCCGCCTTCAGAGCCATCCGGCTACGCTGCTCCTCCGCCGCCTCCACCGGCTGCATCGCCTTCCAACTATGGCGCAGTCCCTCCACCTCCCGGTTTGTAAGTCCGAAACAACGAGTATGATTTCGCGCTTACGACAGCCACTCAACTTGACTTGATTGATCGAAACTAGTCCGATTTGCCTTTGCATATTGACTGACGGCGGGTTTGGTGGATTGGTTTGAGGGTTTCTACGCTTCGGCACGTTTAGTTACAGGTACGGAGCATCGTCTCGGGCACGGTAATAGTCTGTCAATCTGGAGTTGTCACTTTAGTTAGGATACCAGTGCCATTGCTATAGCATAAATTCCAGAATGGCACATCGCCCATCGCGTCATCTCTCAGATTACTTTGACACGTGCTGTGATTGGGTCAGAGGGTGTCCCTCTCCGCGGTACTGATGACTCGCGTGCCTCTCCGCAGTCGGCTCGGTATATTCTGAAGGCACCATTTTTGACCTGCTCGCACCGCGTCGCCGCCACAGACAACCTACGAAAAGATGCGGTCGCAAATCCTTCGTGCTGGTCAAGCAGCCAACTGCAGGGTGAGTCTACACATGCCATTGGCCGCTCAACATCTCTCCAAACCTCATGCGACTTTCGCAGTAGTCATCGTCATCGCGCTTCTTTACTACACCTTCAAACAGCACAAAAGCGCTGACATTACCTCTATAGACCCATCTCTCCTCCCTCCGCCAACCGCTCAGATGCCTAGCCACATCGCACTCGCCACCATCCGCGCGCAACGTCGACCTCGCCTCCCGCACCCCACCGTACGCCAAACTACTCTCGCGGCTCGAAGAAGTCCGGCGCGTACTGGGTTCCTCTCGCCAATTGACTTTGGCAGAGAAGATTTTGTATTCGCATCTTGAGAGTCCAGAGGAGTCTTTGTTGAGCAACACAAATGGCGGGAGGGATATCCGGGGCCAGGCGAATCTCAAGTTGAAGCCGGATCGCGTGGCCATGCAGGATGCGAGTGCGCAGATGGCGCTGTTGCAGTTTATGAGCTGTGGGTTACCGAGTACGGCTGTGCCTGCTAGTATACACTGCGATCATATGATCGTAGGGGAGAAGGGCGCCGATACCGACCTTCCACAATCGATAGCGGGTAACAAGGAGGTTTTCGATTTCCTTGAGTCGGCGGCGAAGAAGTACGGAATCGAGTTTTGGCCACCGGGCGCTGGTATTATCCACCAGTCTGTTTTGGAGAACTACAGCGCTCCGGGCTTGATGATCTTGGGTACCGACAGCCACTCGCCGAATGCTGGAGGTCTGGGATCGATTACAATCGGTGTTGGTGGTGCGGACGCGGTGGATGCTCTTGTGGATGCGCCATGGGAGCTGAAGGCACCCAAGATTCTGGGTGTGAAGCTCACCGGAGAACTCAGCGGATGGGCATCGCCAAAGGACGTCATCCTGAAATTGGCTGGCGAGCTGACCGTCCGGGTATGTCAATCTGAACATGACCAAGTACTTCTGGCTAACATATATGTAGGGTGGCACTGGCTTCATCATTGAGTACTTCGGCCCTGGTGTGCAGTCTTTGAGCTGCACAGGTATGGCGACTATCTGGTAAGACCCTCACACCTTTTCAACGAATGGAGAAATACTAATACGATGTAGCAACATGGGCGCTGAAGTCGGCGCAACTACCTCGCTCTTCCCCTTCTCTCCTGCGCATATCCCCTACCTCCAAGCCACACACCGCGGACCGATCGCTGAAGCCGCCGCAAAGATCGCCGGTTCACCAATGCAGCAGAACTTGCTACGACCTGACCCGGAAGCCGCTTACGACAAAGTTATTGAGATCAACCTCTCGGAACTTGAACCACACATCAACGGACCATTCACCCCTGACCTATCAACACCTCTATCCAAGTTCAAGTCTGTAGTTGAAGAGAAGGGATGGCCACAAACATTCGGCGCGGGCCTGATTGGTAGCTGCACAAACAGCTCATACCAGGACATGACACGGTCAGAAGAGATTGTGAAGCAGGCTCTGGCAGCGGGTCTCAAGCCTAAGGCAGACTTCTTCATTACACCGGGCAGTGAACAGATCCGAGCAACGTTGGAACGGGATGAAACCCTTCAAACGTTCACTGCTGCTGGTGGCACTGTATTGGCAAACGCTTGCGGGTGAGTTCTCAGTCTGTCCTGATTCATTCGAAATACTGACAACCTCAAAGTCCCTGCATTGGGCAATGGAAGCGTACCGACGACGTAAAGAAGGGCGAATCCAACGCTATCCTCACATCCTACAACCGCAACTTCCCCGGCCGCAACGATGGCAACCGAGCTACCATGAACTTCCTCGCTTCTCCCGAACTCATTACTGCCATGTCATACTCTGGCTCTACGACCTTCAACCCAATGACCGACAGCATCCCGACACCAGACGGCAAGCCTTTCAAATTTTCGCCGCCAAAGGGCTCTGACCTCCCTACCGCTGGTTTCGCAGACGGTAACCCAGACTTCATGCCTACGCCAGGCGTTCCAGACCCCAGCGTAGATGTTATTGTCTCGCCTACCTCCACCCGTCTGGCACTCCTTGATCCCTTCCCTGCATTCCCCGGCTCGGAGTTTACAGGCCTGCGGGTACTCTACAAGGTCAAGGGACAATGCACAACAGACACCATTTCGGCTGCCGGTCCATGGCTCAAGTACAAGGGCCATCTACCCAACATCTCTGAGAACACACTCATCGGTGCAGTCAACGCCCAGACTGATGAAGTCAACGTTGCCTACGACTTCGACGGTAAGACTTCTGGTATTCCAGAACTAGCAAAGAGGTGGCGCGACCAGGGCATCGAGTGGCTAGTCGTAGCAGAGCATAACTACGGCGAGGGCTCTGCCCGTGAACACGCCGCCCTACAACCCCGATACCTCGGCGGCCGCATCATCCTCGCCAAGTCATTCGCCCGTATCCACGAGACCAATCTGAAGAAGCAAGGTATCGTCCCTCTCACCTTCGCCAACGAAGCCGACTACGACGCTTTCGAAGCATGCGACCAGGTCGCTACAAGGGGATTATTGGACGTGCTGAAGAGTGGTGGCAAGGGCGAAGTCGAGCTTGTCCTCAAGAAGAAGGACGGTAGCGAGAAGATCGTCAAGACCAAGCACACTCTATCCCATGATCAGTGTGGATTTGTGATGGCTGGTAGTGCGCTCAACCTTCTAGCTGCGAAAGGCAGGGAGATGAAGGAGGAGGTTACCCGGAGTGCGGAGCTGACTGATTGAGTCAATTTTGTATAAGCAGGCAAAAGTGAGCATCTACGGCGCTATTGGTGTCATGGCGCATGAATTATCCTAGCAATAGACTATTCCCAGTCATTTCAATACGCAATGAATTACCTACGACCAAACCGATGTAAAGAGTGGCAGCCTGGTTTTGATGTTCGATCCCTCCCCCACCAAGCCTAAAAAATATCTGACAAACTTCATCTGCCCACCTCCTCACAACATCATTTTTTAATACGTGAAACAGATGAGTGGAGAGCAGCAAAAGGGAAGCAAAAAGCATCTCGGGCGGGGCTCGAACCCGCAGCCTTTGGATTAACCATGGATACAGTTAGTAGAAGTCCAACGCGCTACCATTGCGCCACCGAGACCGTCAAGCGGAAATAAAGACTTCTGGAAATTTCCAAGATCTGTGCGTTTATATACTGAGCACGCATCACAGATGTGATGGCTGGGGAAGCTGTGTTTTGTGAGATCGTATGACTGGATGAAGTTTGCATGTGAAAACGTGAAGGGTGCCACGTCACGGGCGCGAAGTGGGGGTGTGCAGGCATGGTTCGTTCTTTGTTCGACACGGGTGTGTCGAACCGGAACCGGAGCAACACACAGAGACGATACCTTTGTTGTTGCTTAGACACTTATACATAGATACTGTGCCTACTTCTCGAAGGGTGGTACAGATCCATGGCTAGAGAAAAGATAGAAGAAGTCCACATCAAAGCCCCTCAATCTTCTCAACCATCTCCAGCATAACCTCATCCATCAATTCATCCACCTCTCCATCACCGCTCTTATTCCGCTCACACACTTGCCGCAGCTGCAGACGATTCGACTCCCAGCTGACCCACGCAGCAGCCTGAAGAAAACAATCTGTGACGTCGTCCAGCTTCTTGAGCGCAGAGCCTGCGACTGCTGCAGCTGGAAGCACGTCGTCTGATTCCTCTTTGGCTTTCTTGCGCCGTTTGGATGTTGATAGCGATAGGAGCGCTTGACGAGTGCTCTCTGCATCTGGCGCGAAACTGAAGGTTATGCCGGGTACCGTGTCTTGTGTTACCGATGCCGTGGACGCGGGTGTTGCGGTGAGCCAAGAGCGGAGGAGAGCAATCTTGACCTTCTTTTCTGCTTTGGATCGATTTAGAGTCTTTTTGGGACTCGCCGCTTCGTCTTCGTTACCCTCACTTGATTTGACGGCTTCTTCGTCTCCTTCTGCGAGGCGTCCAGCAGCTCGGGTGAGCCAGTACTGGCCGACGCGTTTGGGATCTGCACTGAAGACTTCGTAGAGTTTTGCTTCAGTGGGTAATGACGCTCCCTTTTCTAGTCTTTGGGCGTATATGGTTTGAAGTACGGCCCATAACATGCCTTCCAAGGTGTTGACCCGGAGAGTCCATTGTTGCACCGCGCTGCCACCGCCCGATCTCCATCTCTGCTTTTCGATCAAGATGATGTCTGGCGAGCCTGCTAGAATCGTGTTTTTGATTAAGCTGTAAGCTGTCTTGGACAAAGCATCCGCAGAGTACATATCCGATACTTCGTCAGCACCCTCAGTACTTTGCTTTGTATTCTTGCCCTTTCGTGGAGATTTCTGTTCGCTCTGTATCCTGTCCCCTGGGGCTTCCGTAAGGTTAATCTTCTCCCATCTCAAAACCTTCATGTCCGCATCTAGGCTATCCTTCGATGGGTAAGATACCTCCGCCTCGCAAAACGCCAGGTTCTTGATTCCCATGTCGATGCTCATAATACGGAGCTTCTGATTTGCAGCTCCAGATTTTGGCCATGTCGGTTGACTCTTGGAAAGATGAGATATTCCGATATCACGTCGGAACCGTTCCTGTAGTACTGCTTTTGTTCCCGATGATGGTGCGCCAATATGTACGAGTAGTGTTTGCAGGACCTTGGCTGTCACGGCGCGAGATTTGGGTGCCATTGAAGCTGTCGGCCTTTTTGTCGGGTTTCTAGTAGTCTAGGATGCAGAATGATCGACGAAAAGAAGTGCTATTGACTTAGCACAAGCGGAGAGAAGCGCCGGAGGCATTGTGACCGCGGCGCGTTGACAGAACCATGCAAGATGAGCAGTGGCGACTCAACGAGTTGTGGCCATGTTATCAAGCCCCAGCTTTGGTGTGTAAAGGCGTGTTGGTGGATAAAGTTCTTGAGTGGAGAGTTGGAGAAAAGTCGAGGTAAACGCGTCCAAACTTAGCGTCGAGCGTACCCACGTGATACGATCATGGACATCACGAACTTCGCAATAGTTTGTTTGATATATAAAATGTCGTTTCTATTCTGCTGATATATCGTTATAGTGCTCTTTGCACGTTTGTTCTTAACGCTGCGTTAATCTCCACCACAAAACCAGTTCGTGTCTCTTCACCTCCATACCAAGTAACCAGATGCTTCTTTCCCTCGACTACCCTTCACAAATAAGATCGAAATCCGGAAAATCGGGATCAGGACCAATGTTCGTACTCGCAACCGCACTATTGAAGTCCTTAACCTGTGCATTCTTCTGCGCGTCGTTGCATTTGTCTATCAAGTCTGTTAGCGATCCGTTCCAATCTCTAGTGAGTAAGAGAAGAAGGATGACTTACTCTTCTGCTCATCACAATCATTAACACTCAACCCCCCATCCTGCCTCTTCTTCCCCTTCTTTCCCCTACCTCCACCTCCCCCATTACTATTCGCAGTGTTACTGCACCCTTGAAATTGATTATCGCAACTTCTCTGCGCCGCAGAATCAAAACTGGTAAATGTGTCCCCATCGACTTGGAAAGGTCGTTCTTTGTCGCCTGAATTTGTAATGGGTGATGCACGCGTTCCGCCGAGGTTGCCGTCAAAGGTCTGCAGATCGGATACTTGTCGTAGGAAGAGGGTGTGACGAGGAACTAGTGACATCTCCCAATCCGAGGAGACTAGGGCGGGTTGTGGAGAGGCATGTGAGAGGGCGGGGAGGGCGAGATGGATTAGAGCTAGGAGGGCTGTGGGAAGGAACATGGCTGTGGAGTGGCTGGTAGTTGTTGGCACGTGTAAGTGAGGTAGACAGAGACGTTTGCCGGTGCTGGAAGGATGCCGGGCGTGAGTCGTTGCCGGTATGAAATGATTCTGCCGCGCCTGAAAGGTGTCGATATAGAAAGGTGTCGCGCGTGAAAGATGCCGCGCGTGAGAAGTGCCGGTATACAAAGATTTGCCAGGCGTGAAAGCTCTTGCCGTGCGTGAAAGCTCTTGCCGTGCGTGAAAGCTCTTGCCGTGCGTGGAAGTTTGCCGTGCGTGAATCTTGCCGGTGCTGGAAGATGTCGGTATGGAAAGAATTTTCCAGGCGTGAAAGGTTTGTCGTGCGTGAATCGATGCCGGTGTTGAATATTTGCCGCGCGTGAAAGATGAAAAGTGCCGGGCGTGAATGAACGTCGTGCGTAAAACCTCCTCGATACCAAAATCGCCAATATCCTCCGAACGTATGCAGGCACAGCCTTTGAAAATAATTAGTTGAATCGCACCAAACGAATGTAAATATCGCAATCTCTCCAGAGAGTAAAGGACCCAAATCCCCGTTCCAAACACCCACCCGGGGCCAACCGCACCTAAGTATAACCTACGACCCCAACGCCAAACGCCTCCACATGGCGTGGAAGCGCCGAACATGCATTATCTCACGCCAAACGAGTTTGGGGCCCAGCGGTCACAAAGCTTGTTTGGGCAAGTCGACACGTTGGTTGCTTGCGACGGTGCTGAAACACGATCCTTGACTCGACCCCTGGCAACGCATAAACATGTGCACGCTGCACACGTAAGAAGGACGAGGCGGGCAGAAGGACGGCCTTGTCTGAGAGTGAGGGGGAAAAGGAGAGCATGATAATGGTGATGTAATAGAAGGAATTGGACAGTAACCACTTTTTGGCTATGTTGATTTCGATATTTCGCGCTATGGATTGGGGTATGACTATGCTAAAACAAACAAGAAAGACAATGACGCTCTATTACAACGGACGTAAAACAAGTGTAACGATGCAAAACGCAACGTACACTGACAGGATGATGATGGGGAGTGAGCGGATGAAAGTGGTTGTTGTGGTGCCTCTTCCGTAACGTGATGGTATACGTCTAGTTCTACATTGTGCGCAGCCCTTGCGGGACTGACTGACCACGATGGTGACGGTATACACGAATCTAACATCGCGGAATCAGCGCCTGGAATGCAAACTCACAGAGACGCCATTCGTGCATTATAGCCGCGATTGCACATATATACATCCTCCGCCGTGCTGTCGTCTCTCAAAATCGCTTCTAGCTCTGACAAATTCCGCAGGTAGTCGTTGGTATCGTAATGGACCCTCATGGGCCTATGTACTTTGGTCGGGCTGCGCTTCGCCTAGAAGTTGGCAGCCGCGTTGGGGCGTCCTCCTGGGTTGTGGTACTGCTCCAGGTTCGACTGGAAGGGCGACGAACCAGTGCCGTTCTGAGGCTTGTCACCGAGGGCTGAGCCAGTGCCGGCCATGAGGTCGTCGTCATCCTCGTGAACACGTGCTTGGCGCTTCTTCATGCGCCAGAAGACGAGGGCGATGCCACCGAGGAGGAGGGCTCCACCCACGCCACCAACAACACCTCCGATAACCTTCTTGTTCGAGTCACTGATGCCACCGCTGTTGTCGCTGTCGCCTGCTTGTGCAGTGGGCGGGTCGGTGATGACGGCTTCACCGGTGGAGGAGACGGAAGTGCTGGTGCCTGTCGAGGTCGCCTTGGTTACTCTGCCATCGCTCAGGGTTGTGTCGACAGTTGTGGTATACTCGAACACCGAGGTGGAGAAGAGGGCGGAAGTCCTAACAATCGGAGTCGTTCGTACGGAAGAGCTGCCATCTTCGGTGGCCGTTGGTGAGTTAGCGGCGCCGCCACCTCCACCAGTGCGACTCGTGCCCGCCGCGGTTGTTGAAGCGTCGTTGTTGTTATTGTTGTTGCCGCCATCGGAAGTGGGTGCGGCAGCGGTAGTCGAAGGTGCGGGAGCGTCGGATGTG